CCATGTTTTATGATTATTATTTTTCTCTTGTTATTATTAGATGCATTGTGGTGTTTGCGTGGATGCTATGGGTTAAGACTTGTTAAGTTATGCCAGGCGCTTTGTCGGTCTACCTGTCCATCTGTCTGACCTGCCTTGCCCTTCCTGCCTTGGCATCAAATCCATCATTCTACTGTAGCGCTCCTCTACCAACGCCTTTATAACCCCATTACTATTCAATGCAGCACGGAGTCCACACAAACTGATTAGGCCAGTGTGCAGGAAGGCCCATTGATTGCTGAGGGAAGCAAAGGCAGCCGCCTGGGTCAACCTGAGTCTGGACCTGCTGCTCTCTGCCAGGGAAGTCACATTGAGGGGACATTTAGAACTATTTTCTGTCTGAGATATGCGCTTGTGTTGAGCGCAATCTGTACTTTTAGCAAAACAAAACACTTCCTGTTTAGTTTTGTTTTACAAGAAACATCGTATCTAGTTAGAAATGACTGATGTAAATACCATATGAAAGTTAAGTTGATAATAAAGCACAGATAACTATGTTTTAACTGAGAAACCAAGATAACCAAGAAAATCAGCAACCTGCAGTTTCTTTAAAGCAATCAATAGATATCCACTTTTTTCTTTCTTAAATTAAGTCCATCATTTGTTTTCAATTTTCAATTTCACTTCTTACTCTGTATCTCAGACGCAGTTTAAAGTATGGCGAAATAAAATAAATTGCAAATGAATGAGCTCAAAATCATCACCATTGTGCAAAGTAGCAAACTTTAACCGGACTTTAAGATATAAGTTCAAGTTCATCCATAAAACAGAGAAGCTACAGAGAAATAAGTGAAAGCTAAATTCAAGGCTGTGGAAGGTTGATCTGTAATGCACTGGTGGACATTCAAATAGCAAAGGTAGGACATGTGAGGATACAGATGGTTTTAAAAGGAGGCGGTGTGATTCATAAGACAGGAAGCAGCATATGAGTGGGGATACAACTCAGCAGGGCAACAACAGCAGCAGCATCAGGCTGGTAACAACAACAACAACAGGCCCCATTATTGATGCTTAAATAATAGATGGGGAAAGAGAGGGAGAGATGAGCATGTAGTAGAGGAAAGAAGAGTACCTTACCAAATACAGATGAGAAAGGAAGGAAAGGGGGGAAAGGAGGACAGCAGGAAGTCTTTGACTATAACAGTAGGAAAGAGAGCCAAAAGTAAAGAACGAAAACGTGAGGAAAATATGGAAGAGGCTGGCAAAACTGGTCCCATGTATGAAGCAGGGAGGGTCAGAGAGTTCAGCAGACTGAGGTTGTTCCACCGGGATGAGCAGGTTGTGATTTAAAGGGACGGTTCACCAATAAACGCAACACAATAAAACAATAAAAGATGTTCAAAGCCTCTTAAAAACAGCAACTTAGAATATTCCCGCCTAAAAACACCTTCCTGTGTTATTTATTGGAGATGCATATAAATATAGGCCTCGTAACCTGCTCAGAGCTTCACCCACAGAGCAGCTCTACTGGCCTACATGTTGCTGCCGTCTGTCATCTGATGCCGTACACTCAGTCAATATTTCAATAACTATCATCTGACGTAAGACATTAGAGCGAGAGAGTACATGCAATTTGATAAAGAGCTGCAGTTTAGCCATACGATCGTAACCAACAAAAGTGTCTACAAGGCAAAATAAATGGTTTGCTTTCCATAGCAGTTCAGCTCAGAGGGTTATGCTCCAAGTCTGTAGTAAATAAGGCCGTAAAAAAGACTGTTGGCAGCAGCAGATTCCCTGTAGAGATATAAAACTGAACGACCGAATGAATCAACGGCCTTCGGTGTACTTGTTTGTCCTCTAAACTCTTAGATTTCCTATTAAAGGTGGGGTAGGTCATTTTGGAGAAACCAGCTCGAGTGCGCTAGAATTTGAAAATACACAACCAGAAAAAATCTGCCACTTCCTTACAGAGCCCCTCCTCCAACACACACGAACGCGCACATGACCAGTGAGGGCACGAGATAAGTTTGTGCACAGATGGAAGGCTGACAGGCAGGTAGGCCATCCAGTTACTTTAGCCGGCCCGGCTAAAATGACTGGTCGTGCTTTTTACAGTACTATGGCTTCCACAGATGACATTTTTTAATGGATTTTTTGTCAAAGCACTTAAGATATTCATTGCTATCGGGATGTTAAGAGCATTCCATGGAATATAACAAAAAGTGTCTCTCGAGCCGGTTTCTCAAACTTACCTACCCCACCTTTAAGACGACTATTTTAGGTGTCAAAAGAAGATTCCATTAATGCCTCTGATTGTTGGGAAATGTAAATGCAAAACTGCCCATACAATGGAGATTCAAATAGCAGCACAGTCATATTAATATAAATTGGTGAACACAATCAATTCCAGGCAGAGCATGCCAACCAAAAGACTTTGAGAGAAAAATAATTGGCTACCATTCTGAATAAGAAGTCAATTATCACATTGTGAAAACGATTCTTGTAAAATGAAACAATTCTTCAGAGGTTGTCTCTCAATCATTGATGTATTGTTCTGTATCGTTTTTCTACTTTTCACTATTTTTCTGTATTTCTACTCCCTTTGATTCAAAATCACGCTACTGGCTAATGGCTTTCTTTCTTCCTGTCCGCATCCCGCCCTTCTTGAGATCCCAGAAAAAATTCTCTAATCCTTTTTCAGAACGTTGAAATCCCTTTGCACACTGCCATGACACTTTGCCTTACACTTTGCTACTCTTCCCTACAAAACACACTGCAGTGTTTTGATTGCTACCGTACCTCCAGACAGAGCACACGCTCTCTAATGGGAGGAAATGGGAAACTTAATTAACCTTTTCAAAAGGTGGGCTCATCACAGACGCCGACCAATTAACTATGGGCTTCAAACGGGGCAAGCTAGATGAAATCCTCGGTGGCTCTACACTGAGGATGAATTAACTTGCAAAAAGATGGGACAGTAATAACATACATATACAACCGGTCAAGTGAAAAGAAAATGAAAACTTTGTCTATCTAAGGCACTTAGTTAATGCCTAATTACTAACTCTACGCTCTTATCTACCATCAATCATTTCACAAGCAGAGTTTGAATGATTAATGGCAGCTGTTTTGATTATCCATGAATCCGTAAAGTAATTTATTAAGAAAAAATACCAAATAAACTCATCTGTAGCTATTGCCACTTTTTATTTGACAAATGTAAAATGTCCTGTTCCGTAAAACTTTGTAAAAATCTATTAATTGAAAAATCTATGCCTTATTTGGATAACACAAGAGATTAACAGCAATAAAGGTCTGTCTGTGTGTGGTACACATCTAATGTGCTATCTTAGAATGAACATCTTCTTACTGTATCCCCTTTCATCTCCAGGGACCTAATTATTACTTATCCTACTGCAGCATGTACACACACACACACACACACACACACACACACACACACACACACACACACACACACACACACACACACACACACACACACACACACACACACACACACACACACACACACACACACACACACACACACACACACACACATAATGAAGACAAACATCTCTAAGGCTTTCAGCACCCAGACGGGAGCTCGCTAAGGGACCAACAGATAGAGATCAATCCAACAGTCAGTCAGCTAGAGCCATTGAGCCGTTCAGCAGAGGCATGTTTGTTTGGATATTAACAGACACAAGGAAAATATGAAGCCATATAAAGACACAACATCACATTTCACGCACTACAGCTTCTTTCCTTGCATCATGGAGAAGCTCGCCAGAGGCTAGGCTAACACTGGTGGATTATTCTGAGCGACTTAAATTGGGACATCAGACTGTTAATTATATACATCATTACCAGTCTACTGCTGGGAGCCAACACACAGAAGAGACAGGTCAGACAGATTACATGCTGACAGATAAAAGGAACAAATAAAGACGTGTATGAGAATTTACATATGTAGTTGCCATGGTTACACCAGTAGTGAATGGAGATGTTATGGCCTCAGAAAGTGACAACATATTTTACAATGATATGTGTTGAGGATTATTAATAATAGCATTATTCTAAATCATTGTTTAGTTCAAATGACTAATTTGATTAATTCAATAAACTTGTGTTACTGTTTTTAAGCTATAAATAGCACAACGTTATTTATAACCTTATCAGTGATCTTTGCTCTCCTTGAAATACTGTCAAACAAATGGAATTTTTCTTTTTTTAAATACACTCTTCAGCCACAGGGGGTTTCACATTTTATTTTTGGAAAACCCTTTGGAGGAGTGGTGCAAGGTTTAATAAAACATTGTAAAAAATATGTACGTACTGAAGTGTCCACACTGTGAATGCAAAAACACGAGGAAGCATGACATATAGTTCCTTTTTCACTAACATCATTTAAAAATAGTTCAAAGCATATCTCCTTGAGCTCATTGGACTCATTTATTATCTGTACTGTGCAGCAGATATTTGTCGTTTTCAAAGCTATCCCTCCTTAAAATTAAGGGCTTTGGCACAGTACCAGATTTTGCACATATCAGTATTTTTCAGGGTAAAAAACTGTTTGAAATTCAAATTAGAGGAAGAAGCAAGGCATTTTTCAAACACACATAATTATGTTCATCATATGCATGTTAAATCAGGCATCTCTTCTTTCATCCCCACCCTATCTCTCCTTTTCAGTAACACACATACACACACACACACACACACACACACACACACACACACACACACACACACACACACACACACACACACACACACACACACACACACACACACACACACACACACACACACACACACACACACACACCACACACACACACACACACACACACACACACACCACACACACACACACACACACACACACACACACACACACACACACACACACACACACACACACACACACACACACACACACACACACACACACACACACACACACACACTAAACTAGAGGCTCTGGCCAGAAAAGGGATTACGACATCGCTTACTTTGGAGGACCACGGCTGCAAGCAGTTGGCATAGCAACGGACCAGGAAAGCCATTTCCACAGGAGGGAGGGTGCCAGCGAGGGGAAGTTTCCCCTCGTTCACCAAGAGATGAAGAAAAAATAAATAAAAGAGGGGGGCAAGAGACTCTCTCCCTGCTGCAAGAAGACAATTGTCCAGAGGGTGTTTTCTCCTTTCTCTGATTTAAAAAACCCTCCGTGCTGAATTGGCAGTAAAAGGTAGAATATTGGCTGGACAGATGTCGCTGTAGAGGAAGACTTCAACTCAAGACAGATCCATTTATATGTCAAGCTTTGTCTCCACTACGTACGCATTTGGAGGATCTGCAACAAAGAAGCTTAAAATGTTCCTTAAAAAACTCCTAAAATTTTTAAATATGCAGAATATTCAAAACTGATTCCAGAGCCGCGTGGTCCAAGATAAAGCCAACCTAAAATCCAAATTCAGTAGATTTTTCTTTTGAAAGTTAAAAGGTAGAAACTCATGAAGTAATTTCTTCAATGTCCTCTAGAGAAGCAGATGTTCCTCTCCTTAATAGATGAGCCAGTGCTAGGTAAAAAGAGGGGCTTGTCTGTGCATCTGCAGCCCCCTGGGATAAATCCTCTTGCCTGGCTTAAAGTCCTCCAAACAGTCTCCTCTCACCTCCAAAATAAAATCTGGATCCTTTGCCTGCAGCTGTCCTCTTCTCCTCACTCAACGTCTGTCAAACTCTTCTCTCTGTCTCTTTGCAACTCTATTATCTCTACAGGGCTCCGGTGCATGTGCGTGCCCAGTGATGCAGCTCCATGGCAGGGCCCAGTGATCCCACTCCCCTTAACCCAGCTCTCTTCCCTGGTTAGCGCTCACACCTCACACCGGCATTCTTCCTCTTCTCTCCCGCCCTCGGAGAGAAGCTACAGTGGATAGGATGCTGCGCTGTGGAGAGCCAGCTGCTAATGGGGAGAAACGGAGGAGAGAGTGTGAGGGAGGGAGGAGGGAGAAGGGAAGAGAATCCAGCTGAAAAAGAATGACATCACCTGTGCAGCGAGCGAGCGAGCGAGGGAGAGAGGGAGACGGTGGGGAGGGGAGGCGGCGTGAATGACGCGAGATCAAGCCGAGGGAAACTGCATTAGATGGATTGGGTGCTGAGCAGATGTGGACGAAATGGACAGAGAACAGGAAAGACAGAGATAGAGAGGAAAGAGCATCGTTATTGATCAGCTGGTAACATAAAGCCGAGTTTATTGAGGCAACCCCCTCCCCTTTGTGAACACGTCGCATAAATTACAAAGAAAGGGGGACTGGGGCTGGGGGGGGCATAAATCACGGAGCCCCCCTATCAGATACAGAGACAGATATTTTGGCGAATGTGAACATGAGGCGCAATAGCACATGATGATAATGGGTTTTCCCCCCGTCAGAATGCCCCCCCCCCCGTCTGGAGGATTTGTGACACGGAAGATGGGATTTGACGTTTAATAAACAATCACAGATAAATCACTCTAAAAGCAGCACGCTGAGCAAAACACTCGGATGATAAAGGCATCAGCTAAGTGTAAACTATTAAAAGCAGACCTGGTTCGGTCAGCAGCCACACATTATTACTGAATGTGGTTTATCCCACTTCTACCAGATTTGGGATACCACCCAGGACATTAACACAAGAAAGAAGAGTATCAAATTGGCTTTTTAACCCTTTACATTTGCAATCTAACAACCACAAGTCCACACCTCAGTAAGCGTTGATTTGGTGATTTAAAATCCTTTAAGATGTCTAAAAAGGGTTAAAACATCTAGGTAGACCGAGTCAAATGTGGTAGGAAGTGAACGTTTTTTAAGAAATAATTTAGTTATGAAGTATTATAGGTAACAAAAAGCATTTTACTACATCATATCAACTTTTAAAGCAATCAGAAGACCTTTAATGAGAGCAAATGAAGACTCAGAGGGAACACAGAGGATAACATATGAGCATTTCCTCACAGCTAAAAAGGTTATTCAAATTGTAAACACTGTATAAAATATGCACATTGCATTTCTTAAGTTGCGTGCATTGCATTGTGAGATCTGCAATTTATAACACTGCATATCTCACAACTTGTGTATAATTTAGATTGCTTACTTTATTATGACACTTATAAATGCTTCTGACACTGAAGTCAAAATAACAAAAAAAAGAACTGTTATTAAAACACAGTTATTATTTCCTGGTTTAATGCAGAGACAGTCGCTAATGCTGAGGAGGTAGAAGAGTTTAAGTTGCACATATGTGAAGAAATAAAAGCCCTTTAATTCCTTCTGTAAAGATTGTAATGATAAAATAGTAATACAAAATGATGGTCTATTTTTAGTGCTTGGCCCTTCTTTCCTGCTTCCTTCTCGTCTTGCTCCTAAATGAACCTGCTTGCGTACGTGGCTGTTTTATTTGAGGAAAAGATGAGAGAGGAGGGATGAATTCAAACAGAGACAATAGGATCTGTCTGGGTGTTTGAACGGCTGGTTCTCCTCCAGCAGAGGAGAGATTCAATCTCCACACACTTCAGAGGGGGGAGAAACTCTCCCTTTCTCCCTTTCTGATCTCCCCCTCCCTCAGTACATCCCCCCACCTCCTATTTTTCGTACCCTCCTTGCTCCCTTTCTGATTTAAAATGCCTCTGCCTCTTTCTGCTATGAACCAGGATCCCTTCCCTCAGTTCTCTCTCTTCTATGTGTGTGTGTGTGTGTGTGTGTGTGTGTGTGTGTGTGTGTGTGTGTGTGTGTGTGTGTGTGTGTGTGAAACCATACGCACATCCCAGCTAGGAATGACATCATCCTTTTAGTCCGCAGCCAATCAGATGCAAGCACATGGAGCTCTGCCTTCAGACGGGTGTTATGTACACAAGAGGGGCAGAAACATGTAGGAATACATGGGGAGACAGATGGATACAGGGGTGGGTAGAAACATTGATAAACAGAAGAAAAACGTGTTTGTCTCATTAGATAGTGTTCAGACTGTGTGTTTTAAGTGTGTGTGTGTGTGTGTGTGTGTGTGTGTGTGTGTGTGTGTGTGTGTGTGTGTACTAACTGCAGTGTTTCCCATTTGCATACTACTGCGCAGCACTACATCATTCCCTTGCCCTGCTGCCCCAGCCCTAATAAACATGCAGACACAGAGCGGCTGCTTTTCAAAACAAAAACAAAAAACTAACTATGGGCTAGACACATCTTCAGAAAAAAGTAAATATATAATCACTTTTCAAAGTTCAAGGCTTCTTTAGTTCAGCCACCCCGCTGTTTTGCAGTAAGGCTGCTTACAAATCTATCTTTAGATGATCTGCTGGTTTTAACATTGATCAAATGTTCTGATGAATTATTCATAGAGCAACAAGCAGAAACGCTGATTTATTAATAACCATTAACTGAGTTATAAGCCAAAACTTTCCTCATATGAGTGAATGCTTTGCTTCATCAATGATTAATGCTACAAATTAATCAGACCATCCACATTCAAATTAAGAATGTATAAATCATTTTAGAAATGTACCTCCTGATGAACAAAGTCCTGCACTTGTTACACATGTTGACCACTAGGACATTGTTACAGAGCTAAGCAATAACCAAACATGCTGCTAAATCAACAAAACATGTTTAATTTGTCTAACAGGCTAAATATTAGGCTACCTGATGGGTCTGTAAAAGAAACTTAGCTCAGATAGAATAAATTACCTCAGACAAAAAGCACAAAGATTACATATGCTGACAAAATCCAAAAAGAGAAAAGATAAAGAGACAAAAGAAAAGACAGCAGGAGTCATCGTGACATTAATAACTACCAGATAAAGGAAAGTATCTCCACACATAACGGTGTCGTCGCAGTTTAGACACATTTATCTTAATTGATTTCCATTTGAGAGGAATTTAGACAAGTTCAAGTCAAAACTGTCACAAGAAGACATTAGGTTTTAGACTCAAAATGAACTAGAAGGTGAAAGTTCCGAGGAGTCAAGCGTCTCTTGTGACTGCCCTCATTTTGGGATCAAACCATAAAAGGAAAGACACCCTTGTGCTCGTACGAGTGTCAGAAGAACGTTCACTGGTACTCAGTGTGTGCTGACGTGGGATCAGTCTGCAAAACAGGGAGCAGGATACACGTCACACAGGAAACACTTCCTGGAACAGTGGCTCTGTGATTGTGTGCATGTGGCAGCTTCAGTCAAGCGATACAAAGGCAAGGAAGTCAGAAAATTCAAAGTTGGAGAGAGAAAGAAAGAGCAAAGAGGGAAACAGATTTAAAAACACTTTTAAACAACAAAATGTATGAAAACTGTCGATGTGTTTGCACTACATGACACATTCAGACAGGCACCAACAGACAGGAAATGTGACCTGTCCAATGGCAAGCCGTCAGACAGACTCACACACATGAGACAGTTTGAACTGACTAGACGTACACACCGCATCCTGTGTGAATGTGTGTGTGTTCACTGAGGGGGTCCTGTCTCTGTGTGTCACTGAGCCTGCTGATGGGACAATCGCCCCCCTGGGATGCTGCACGCTCATTTGAATACCCTCACATGCTTGCGCCAGCATTATGTGTGTGTGTGTGTGTGTGTGTGTGTGCGTGTCTTTCTTGCAACTGCTCACAGCTAATCAGTTCAGTTCATCACATCTTTTTTGCAACATCGAGGCAAGGCTGGATTTTTTGCATCAGTGTCAGACTTACACTGGGCTGTGAATGTTACGTTGCTGGTTTGAATCTGGAGTCACAATTTGAAGAGCCAAAGTTAGCCCTTTTTGTCTGATCCATTCATTGATTTTGCAATCCGAAAAAACAAAACAAAAACTTAAAAGAATCCCTTCAAATGTTTTGTTACAGATTTTTTGTCAACTGACTTTTTAATTATTCAACTAACGGCTTCAGTTACATGACAATGCACTCTTTTGAAAGGGAGGGGAAATATTGTAAATCTTGCTGCTTTCATAACAAGATTTACAATAACATTGGATTTCAATCATTAAAGGTGGGGTAGGTAATTCACTTCAGAAACACTTTTTTTTATATTCCATGGAATACTCTTAACATCCTGATAGCAATGAATACATTACATACTTTGACAATAAATACATAAAAAAATGTCATCTGTGGAAGCCGTAGTACTGTAAAAAGCACGACCAATCATTTTAGCCGGCCCGGCTAAAATAACTGGATGGCCTACCTGCCGGTCAGCCTTCCATCTGTGCACAAACTTATCTCGTGCCCTCATTGCTCATGTGCGCGTTCATGTGTGTTGGAGGAGGGGCTCTGTGATTTTTTTCAGTATTTTCAAATTCTAGCGCACTCGAGCTGGTTTCTCCATTCTTACTTACCCTACGTTAAAGGAAAGGCAACAGTCACTGTACCCTGAAAAACTGTTTAAACTATTAAAGGTGGGGTAGGTAAGTTTCAGAAACCGGCTCGAGTGCACTAACATTTGAAAGTACACAGCCGAAAATAATCCGCCCCTTCCTTCAGACTTCCTTACAGAGCACCTCCTCCAACACACATGAACACGCAATGCACGCCCAATTACGGCACACCCAATGAGGGCACGAGATACATTTGTGCGTGCTCGAGATGGAAGGCTGACAGACAGGGCGGCAATCCAATCCGTTTAGCCGGCCCGGATTGGTTGTACTTTTTACAGTATCACGGCTTCCACAGATGACATTTTTGTATGGATTTTTTGTCAAAGCACTTTGCTATCGGGATGTTAAGAGCATTCCATGGAATATAACAAAAAGTGTATCTCGAGCCGGTTTCTGAAACTTACCTACCCCACCTTTAATAATAAAGTGTTTGAAAATGTTAAAAAGTTTAACATTTAATATGTATGTAATCATCACAAACATGGAGTCAATGTTAAGTCCCTATATGATCCGATGGTTTCCTGTGTACAGTAGACGAGTACACAACTAAGTCCTACAACACCAAACACATGTACAACCGAAACAAACGTTCATGTAACCAACACAAAGAGACAACTATGTGAAAGTGGGGCCATCTGATCACATGTGCTTGTGTGTGAACAAACTAAGTGTGTGTGTGTGTGTGTGTGTGTGTGTGTGTGTGTGTGTGTGTGTGTGTGTGTGTGTGTGTGTGTGTGTGAAGGACAAGACAGGAATTCCTGCTATTTAAACCAGCCCTTCCCTTTCCGACTACAGAGC